GAGTGTGAGTGTGAGTGTGAGTGTGAGTGTGAGTGTGAGTGTGAGTGAGAGTGAGAGTGAGAGTGAGAGTGAGAGTGAGAGTGAGAGTGAGGGTGTGTGTGTGAGTGTGAGTGAGTGTGAGTGAGAGTGACGGTGGGTGTGAGTGAGTGTGGGTGAGAGTGAGAGTGTGAGGGAGTGTGAGTGTGAGTGAGAGTGGGAGCGTGAGTGAGTGTGGGTTGTGAGTGCGAGTGTGCGGCTGCACCGAAATCTGCGTTGCGAGGTTCACAAAACACTGCGCCTGCCACGAAATCTGCACTTCGAGGTTCACCAAATGCTGTGCCTGCCACGAAATCTGCACTTCGAGGTTCACAAAGTTGCGGCTGCCACGGAATCTGCACTTCGAGGTTCACAAAGCGCTGTGGCTGCCACGAAATCTGCGCTTCGAGTTTCACCAAGCGCTGTGCCTGTCACGAAATCTGCACATCGAGGTTCGCAAGGTGGTGTACCTGTCACGAACTCTGCAGTTCGAGGTTCACAAAGTGCTGTGGCTGCCATGAAATCTTGACGTCGAGGTTCACAAAACGCTGCACCTGCCACGAAATCTGCACATCGAGATTCACAAACTAAGTGCAGTGCCTGCCACGAAATCTGCCCATCGAGGTTCACAAAGTGCGGTACCTGCCACGAAATCTGCACTTCGAGGCCCCCGCCACGAAATCTGCGCTTCGAGGTTCACAAGTTGATGCCCCTGCCAGGAAATCTACACGAGGTTCACGAAATGCCGTGCCTGCCACGAAATCTACAAACGAGCACTACACCATGAAATCAGAGCGCCTCGACGATCACGAGCCACCGTGTCCAAAGTGCGGCGCCTACCATGAAATCTGCATTTCGAAGTTAAGTCGCTCCGACCCCTTGCGCGCGTCACGAAAAGTGACCACCATGTGCGAACATGCGCGCGGCGCCACGACGAGAGCGCAATCGCTGGCCCCTAGATTCTGCGAGCCTGCGCCTGCGCAGTCGAAATGCACATTGACGATGTCGAGAGGCCTGAATGTATTGTATATATAGCAGCGAATTAGCTGCGCACGCCCGCGCGCCTCAGCGATCGAAGCATCAGCTGCTTTTCTCCTACTGTAAGAACCCCCACACCGTTTGGGGAACAATTATGAAAAATGGTCAAAGTAATTTCAGAGGAAACTCTCGACTCTGTGTGTGTTTCACTCCTGGGAGTTCTGATGATGAACAAGAATGTCGGCCCCCAGACGTTACCAGCGGAAACAACCAGAATGCATATTTGTTGTGTTTTCCAGGTCAAAAAAGAAGGCGAAAATTACTTTACTTCGAGCGATCCCCACCATGACATTTCAATAATGTCTTGATGCCATAGTGAGGAGCATGTTGCCATGGTCGTGAGTATTGTATTCATCGATTTTGCTTGTTGGCCCTCGGGTTGTGTGCTATGATTGTGTGTTGTGGTTGTGGTTGTGCGCTGTGTTGTGGTTGTGGTTGTGTTTGTGATTGTGTGTTTGTGGCTGTGTGTTTGTGATTGTGTGTTTGTGGATGTGCTTGTTGTGTTTGCGGTTGCGTTTGTGGTAGTGTGCTTGTGGTTGTGGTTGTGTTTGTCGTTGTGGTTGTGTTTGTGGTTGTGTTTGTGATTGTGGTTGTGTGTTTGTGGTTGTGTGTTTGTGGTTGTGTGTTTGTGGTTATGTGTGTTGTTGTGTTTGTGGTTGTGTGCTTGTGGTTGTGTGCTTGTGGTTGCGTGTTTGTGGTTGTGTGCTTGTGGTTGTGTTTGCGGTTGTGTGTTTGTGGTTGTGTGTTTGTGGTTGTGTGCTTGCGGTTGTGTGTTTGTTGTTCTGTTTGTGGTTGTGTGTTTGTGGTTGTGTGTTTGTGGTTATGTGTTTGTGATTGTGTCTTTGCAGTTGTGTTTGTAGTTGTGTGTTTGTGACTGTGTGTTTGTGATTGTGTGTTTCTGATTGTGTTTGTGGTTGTGTGTTTGTGGTTCTGTTTGTAATAATTGTGTGTTGAGGTCCGGCGGGGAACACTGGGCGCGGATGGTCGTGGTTGAGG